TGATATTGTAACGTTACTTTATGTTTAGCGGTCAATAATGTTTTAATTTACGAAATGTAAGTTATTATGGATAGAATAATGGCGTAACCACTTTTAATGCTGAAAGAGAGAGAGAGAGAGGAGGGGGAGGGGGGAGAAAGCGCGACAGAAGTCCTCCATGCGATGATTGTGCGACAAATATTCGATACTAGAGTACCAACGAGTGCCGTCGCTGACCACCGCCTTCAAGAATTGGACATACGGAATTACATATCGTCATCCATCGTGCAACCTCTCATTTCCCTCCTACTGCAATCAGCGGCATTTAAGCTTGGCTTTCGAGCGTTTAAGCATTTAGCCGCTTCCGCCATATCTCGCGGTTGTCTTATACCGGGCATACTTTTTTCGCGGAACTGGATGGCTCTCCCTCGTTCGGTTCCTAGAAGAACGGACGCGGCTATATGGACGCTGGTATGTCGTGACATGTTGCCAACAAGAATTGTATCGTACATCACCGACGTCGGTCCTCATTCACGCAATCGTTGAACAGGAATCTTTGAAATCGACCACTTAAAATAACTAGGCTTATCAAATGGAATTATCAAATGGAATTCATTTATAGTAAAGATAAATGTATTCCAAATTGTTCCAAGTATTGTCAGATAAAAACAGCACAATAGCTTTGGTATATCCTGTTGAATCATCAATCATACCTAAAATATCATTGTTAAAATATTATGTCGTTCCTACATTTTTATGATTTTTATGAGTCCTTACAATGTCTAAGAAAATATTATACGCACCCAAAAGAACATGGTAATATATTTTTCATGTTTCTCAGAATAAAAAGCTAAAGCTCTCATTTCGAACCAAAAAAAGCACGTTTCATAATGTTATATTTGAGGGGAAAATTAGAAAAATATTAGGGGAGATTGTTGCCACTTTTTTAAACAAAAATGTGTCATTTAAGTAATTTTTATTACATTTTCTATTTGACACTGATTTGTACGCAAATGAACATTGAAAATTGTAACTTGATGTTTCAAATATCTATTATTGGTACACAATTTAGGTCATCGATACGCATTTAGCAAAAAAATCAACATAGAAAAGCACTTCTTTTTACAAAAGGATTTCATACAATACTCGACTTATTTAATTATTTACTTTACCGGAGTTTGTGTTTTCTAAAACGGAATCACAACAGGAATATCGGAATTTGACATTTCATCTACACAAAAAGAACAATTTTATTAAAGTATCTCAAAAGTATCAAAATAATTACGTAGGACGCTTGGAAAATTTTTTCAATCAGTACTGTTCATTATGCTTCAACGTCATATTTATTTAATTATTTTGATGATCTAACAAAATGATTTTTAGTATCGAGTTAAAAATTTTTAGATGCTTTAGCAAATTGTTTTGTCTGAGAAACATAACCATTCGATATAAAGTAAAAATGTCCCATAAACTTCTCACACATCTATATTATTGATAATATAGCCTTCCCAACTTGCTGAAATCGAGCTCGCAGGTCCAGCCGTCACAGCCTGAGAGTCCTTCGTATACATAATCGCTCCCCTTTCGATATTGCGATACGATTGCAATAATCGTCCATCTATGAGCGCATTCTTTTCCTCGTGGAAATCACCGAAGGCGTTGAATAATTTCATATTTCATACCTGACTCTACGAGGCGCGAGAGCGAGAGAGCCGATCGAGAGAGGCAAGAAAGGTCAGCCGGATATCTGCGCGAGTTTCGGAATTCATTCGAGAATGAATTGTTGCTCCCCGCGTTGGGATTGCGGCGTAATTTTTCCTTTTCGTAATCGATATGCGGATGCTGCATCGAAACGCGTCAGCGTAAGCAAATGTCACGAGCCTTCAATTTCGCACTCGTCGAGATGAGGGGAGTCCGGAGGCGAAAAAGATTAACCGGACATCTGCGACGAGAGTTTCGGAATGCATCGAGAAGAATCGTTGCGTTGTTACTTAGACGGAACTTTATATACTGTTGAACGTTGTGAAACCGATTGCGAGAAATCGTGCAAGCGACTGTGCAAGCGAATAAAAATGTTTATTTACTTGACACCTTACGTGAGCAAGGTACACATGTACCGTTAGCAAACTCGTATTTTCTGTATGTCATGGCAACTCGCGGTATAATTTGCCACTTAATTTACCGCTTAATTAAATACAACGAAGGCTTTCAATAATTATTTAACTCAAAAATAATATATTTAGCAAGCATCGATATTTATTACTTGTTCTGATTCTGATTATCCTGATAAGAATTCTGATTCTGATTACTTCGATCAGACCACCATACGATAACCAGGAATGTTTGATAGATTTAACTATAAGTATTTAATTTAACTATATTTTACTATAATAAGTATTTATATAGTTAAAAATTTAAATATCTAACAATAAGTACCTTTCTGAATTTACCAGATTTCCAATTGATGCAGCCAGATTTTGTTTCCCGTGAAAGAAAAAAAACGTCTTATTTTTTCGTACATTACTACTAAATCTACAATACTGACAATGAGATAAGTATCGAGTTCATAAATAAAATAATTACAATAATTATAATAAATTTCGGGGAAGTGATTTTCAGCCATCGAAATTTGCCAGTCTTAATAAAGTCTTTATAAAGATTGCATCAAGTATAATTGAACGCTATATAAATTGTCGAGTTTTTTTTCTTTATACACACATTGTATCGACGAAGTGTTTACATAGATGGCAATATAATGAATTGTACAGCCTTGGAATAAAAATGCGATTACGCTTGCCGACGCGCATCCTCGGATGGAAAACGGGATGAATTATGATCGATAACAACAGCGAGAAATGAGCAAGCCAGCAAGACTGAATTCCAGCTAAAACGACCGGTCATGTATAAGCGGATTGTTGACGATCGAGAGCTTTTCAAGGGTTTCGCAATGCGCAACACTTAATCCGAAGTGCATGCGCAAACTTCGTCAACTTCCTCTTACGCAACGCGTGAATCGCAGAGCGTCGGATTTTTCTGCGCGCTCGAATTCTTCGCGTGTTTTCTTTCTCGCAACGCAAAAAAAGACCCAAGGTGTCTCGCACGCTGGATAATACTCCGAATGCAATCTGCACTCATCTGCATTCCGCTGCTGACAGCGCGCAGAAACGCACGGGCGTGAATACCAACGTTAGACGCGGCGACCTACGGTATTCGCAACCCCGCCTCGAACGTTCTCGGCGAAGGACTCGCGGGAAAAGTTTTTCGAGCTGATCGCGCAAAGACTTTGTCTTTGATAAGCAAGATAATTTGGCAATGACACGAAATGAAAATCACGTCAAACGCGGGAGAAACGTTTAAAATTGGCGCGCTGAAAGAGTAGCGATAAATAAAAATAATCGTAAATAATAAAAAATTAACGTAATTGTTTCATTTTTCACTCAGGAAATGACAGGAAAGGTAGGCATTTAAAAATTGACACCTATATAAGTTTTATATGTAGTATTTATGTGTACACATCACAGTTGAATAAAAGCTACTTTATAATTGCACGTATAAAATAATTTATTCCATTATACATATATTAATTCTACATATAAAACTTATGTAATTGTCATTGCTTATAGTTGTCATCAATGTTTTTTTTTCGCTAATTTGCCTTGAACACTTTGTTTGGAATAAAGATTCGCGATATATCTCGTGCTTTCAAAGTTACTTAAAACCTGGAACTCGATGAGAGTTATTTATTCTTGATTGACACTCGAGAGTCGACTCTGTGTCTACTAAAGAATATTATTATTAGTGAACTATTAACTGAAATTAATTTAGCAATAGTTGCAATTTAATTTTTGACGAAAAGTGAAAGACAACATTTATTTTAGATATGCAGAATAGTTCAGTCGACGTATAAACAAGTTGGTCGAGTTGATTTTACATCGTTAACCTATATTGAGTTTCTATTGCAAAACTCGTCGGAGATAAATCTTCTCGGATTATGGAGCTATTAACATACGAGATTTGTATTATTGACGAAAAAAGTCGCTACTTTCGCGCGCATGCTAGGTGTTCCTTAAAGCCTACGATATTCAGTATTTTACACCTATTTTTATAAACCTGCATATTAATGTCACGATACGTCTGAAAGAGATAAAAATCATAAATAATAATTCATTTACAGATTTTAATGGCAAAACTATTAAGAACCTCATCAATTAATCAACACATTTCCGTTAAAATCAATTATTGTACAAATTGCACACAATTGCACATCGTGAGAAAAAGAAATCGTGCCTCACAATTTTTAATATAATCAGAAATATATTTGTTTTTTTTCAGAACTTCAATTCGAAAAATACGTGCGGAATTTATAGATCTGACAACAGTTTCGGTCTAATAGCCGAGCTTTGTTCTCAGTCCTAAAATTCCTGGTGCACCCAGCGGCCGAAAGATTCATCATGCGGGACCATCCACGAAGAGAGATCCGTCCCCGAGGATTTCGGAGTCGGGTCGATCGACCGGCGGCGATCGAGGAGCAGAGGATCGTCGTCGGCGGCGGCGGCGGCGACGGCGACGGCGGCGGCGGCGGCCCGGAGCTCTCGGCTCACCCGTTACTCGTCCAGCACGCTCTGCGGGAGGGAAAAGGGATGGAGGAGGAGGAGAGAGTCGAAGAACAGGGGGGAAGGAGAGAGATAGAGAGACACGGTGAGGCTGTGTACGAGGCACAGCACAGGTAAAACAAAAAGTCGGGAAAAAATTGAAAACCAGTCTTATGCAGTCGGTAGTCCGAACTATCCGGCCGTCAGCGGACTCATTCTTTCTCTCTCTCCCCCCCCCCTCCCCTCCCCCTCTCTCTTTCTCTCTCTTTTAACGAGACTGCCTCTCGTTCTCTCTTCCTTCATCATTTTTCTCGCTCGCACTCTCCCGTTCTCGCTCGCGCTCTCTCCCTCTTCTCTTCTCCACCTCCAGCGGAGAGATCCGCGACGGTATAAACCACTACCACCAGCCGCCGTCGCCACCACCTCCTTTTCCTCCTCCTCCTCCTCTTCCTCCACCTCCTCCTCCTCCTCCTCCTTCCGTTTCTCTGAGGTCCTCGCGGTCTACGCTCTTTCTTAATTCAGTCCAATGAGAACTGTTCTTCGATTCGTCACACCCGCCGACAAATCTCTTTCTATTATCTGTTTTCCTCTCTCCTTCTCTGTCGCACCGTTTCGTTTCGCGAAAGATCGCCGCCAAATTTTGAAAAAGCGACGACGAAACGGGTACTCTCCACCGCTCTCCTCCGACGCCGATCCCCGATCGAGCGAGCGAGCGATCGCGATTGCGATCGCGATTGCGATTCGCACGACGCAAGTACATCGCGATGCGTCGCAACGCGGTAACGTCGTAAAACCGCGACGGGTGCATCCTTCGCGCTGGATGGGACACGCCGTACACGCCGTACGCGCCGCCGTCGAGCAGGAAAAGGATCCTCGCGGAAGACGGACGCCCGTCACTCCGCGAGTTTGTTTTGACGACGGTTCACCGTGTACGGTGCTTACGTGCTGCACGTTACGCGAGAGGCGCGAGCGCGCTGCGTCGTAAACACGCTGTGATCTAAGTGCGCGATTCCCACGAGAGGGAACTACGTTTATTAACGTTGAGGAACGTTGGCGAACGCGTGGAGCGATTTATTTTACGAATATTCACCAAGAACGCCAAGATCGTCCAAGAGACCTACATCTCATCGTCGTCTTTTGCGTGTTACATATACAGCGTCTTACAGCGTCTTACAGCATCTTACAGCATTCTGTGCCTCAACGATCTCTTCGACGTATCCTCGCGGACACGAAGCCAGCAGCCGGATTCTCGTGCGTCGCGGGCGATTGGACGATCCGCTGAAACCGTGAGAGAAAACGCTCCTTCCTAGAGGATGCGAGGAAGGATTTCTCCTCTTACCGAGGAAACATGTCTCGCAGCGGTCGTCGCAACGCGCGAACCGGTTGCGCGCTCTTAAAATAGTTTCTCACGCGCGTAGGTAACTGGCGCGCACCGTTGTCCCGCCGCTGGAACACGCCGCCGGAGTAGTGCCAGGTAAATATCGATTGACTTTGTCTATCGCCGTTAGATAGATCCCCCCTTCCCCCTGCCCTCTCCACCTCCTACCTCTTCTTCTCCTCTCCTTATCCCTCTGCCTCCTGCCAACGAGAGCGCGCGAGAAAGATCCGCCCGGATCCGCCGCGATCGCGATCGCGCCGGATCGGACCGGCCTCCTCTCTATAATCATGAAAAATAAATAGCTCGCCTCCAATTAAAGATTCCATTCGAAATTTGACCACGATCGAACCATCGTTCCTCTCGACGAGTTCTTATTATCGGCCGAGAAACTGTAAGGAATTCGTCTCTTCCGAGATTGTCTTCCCTCTCCTCCTCCTCCTCGTCAGAAGAATCGTTTCTCGAAGAATTTGCTTGTTGACAGAACACGCGATGAAAAAGTTTTGGCGGAACCCGAAGGGAGAACTATTATAGCCACGCTGCCGTAATTTTTGTTTAGTTAAGAGTTTCCGTCTTCATCCTCTCTCTCTCTCTCTCTCTCTCTCTCTCTCTCTTCGAATTTCGCCGAAACTCTCCGTTTAAAGAGAAGCGAGCTATTTTTGATGATGGGGGTGGATTGGTATCGCGGAACAAAGCGCGTCGGTGCGTATGATCGATCTATTTGCAACGCGGCTTTCGCGGAATCGTCGCGGGAGTTTCAGAGTCGTCGGAGCGGGATCGACTCAAGTCGCGATTATTTATCAATCCGCGATCTATCGAGAGACGCATATCGGCCGGGTGCACTCTAATACTTTTACGAGAACGCGATCGCATCGGCGACGTCGACGAAATTATCCTCAATGGCGATCTATATTCACGGTGATGGTCGATGCACATTTTTTCATTGCCCCGCTTACAGTTCTCGAGAAAGCCGGGAGAGACGCAAATACATCTGCGCTGTATCTGATCGATCGTGTCACGCGCTTAAGCACATCTTTCCTAGTATCGGAAGACTATCCGTCGAACGGTAATTCAATTAACACCTAAATGCATCGTCTGAAACTCCAGGAGACCGGAATCGATATTTTTCAAAAGGAGTTTAGGGTAAAAAAAAAAAGTATCTTATCGACGTGATATAACGTTTCGATACACAGAAATCAGTCATAAATCAGTGTTCGTACTTCTATTTGCGCCTTAATTAGCACGAAATGCGATTGTTCGATTCTGAGTATTGTTTGAATGAACATTGTTGACACGAAAATTCGTTTGCATTCGTTGCAAATAAGATGCTAACAAGAAATGATAATCGAAATGATAATTCTAAAGTCGGCGTTAAATATAGAAATACATAAAGATTGTAACAAAAAATAATTTGTAAAGTACAAAAAGTGTAGATAGATGTTAAAGAAAAAATATATAAGAAGAAGGGTAGCAAATAGTGACAACTATAGAGGTGACGACTGTACAAGTATTTTATATGCAGAATTAATGTTAATATATATAGTTGAACAAACTGTTTTATAGTTATTTTAACTATGTAATTCTACATATAAATTTATATAGTTGTCACTTTTATGATTACTACCACTATGTTCTCCTCTGAGTGTATTAACTTCATATTTTAAGTAAAAAATAAAATTGACAGATTTGGTTAAATATTGTAATTAAAATCCATTCAAAAAACTTTCTTCCAAATATATCTTTAATTTTTGTTTTCATTTTCTTTAGTAGAATCATAATTCATTCATTAAATGTGAATAACGACTTCGCTGTTAATCAACAACTTTAATAGTGTATTTAGCATTAAACGTAGTCGTCCCATTCCGATTGCCCCTTGTCTATTATTAAGATGCTATTCGATGTTATCATAGGCTGTGTCGCAGCACTCGCAGCCAAGTTTTAACGCTGACCGCGCGTCGTAAGTGCGAGCTGTTCGATTGTGCGAGCGTGTCTCTCGTGTGCTCGGTAATTCCTGCAATAACCGAAAATAATAATACGGTAGACGACACCGTAAATGGTAGCGATAGCGCAATAACGACGCGATGCCAATTGACAGCGATTCTTCGATAACGCGGATATTAACGCACGAAGGAGGTCATCACCACATGCAACCAATCGGAAATGGCGGACGATCGAGTTTCAGCATCCATGCACTTCAATCATCTTGCATAATTGAATCGATGCGATTTCGTTTTAATTAAAATTATATTTTTTTTTTAACAGAATTTTCCGAAAAGCGCTAGTTGAAAGAAATGCTACTTCTACTTGTTGCGCGTCTAAAGATTGAGTCTAAACAATTAAAAATTATGATCGTACATTATACAATTAATGACGTTAACTATTTTTTATCAAAATATTTCAGACATAATATTATAATATGATACGATATTCCAATCTGTGAGCTATTGCATCATATGATATGTAAAAGACTGATTCTTCTGCGAAATTCAATTCCAGTTCCATCGAAGCACTACGAGCAATATTAACCCTTCCCGAGTGATTTGAACGTGTTATATGTAAATTGATTTTTTCATTCGATACATGAATGCACGTTCCTTCTTCCTCAAACGTAGTAGAAACAAAATATAAAATTGAAAAATTATTGCTTTTTACAATAAATTATTTAAAGTGTTTTAAGATGTTTATTACCAATATCATTAAATTGCTTGTCAATTTAATTTATGATATTGTTATCTCAAGTTTCAGTTTAAGATTGTCAAGACCGTAGTCGGCATACAATTTACAGAATCAGACATGCATATAGATTCATATTAAACTATTATTAATTGTAAACGCTAAGACTAGCTCATAGCGTTTTCTACTAAGAAAATTGGTGCAACATTAGTGCTAAGCTAGGTTTCGATAAAAACAACACTAATGCAGTAATAATAGGTAATGCAGGTTTAGTGCGATTCAATGAAACATATCATAAGACATCCATTATATTGACATTCATTTTATACCACTCCTAAAAATATATATATAACTATATTCAAACTTAAATTACTTATTTTACATTCTGATTCATTTATTTGAAATATTTTTTTTAAATTAAATTTTTACATTTCAAGAGTTTTAAATGTTAAAATGTCATTACGTAGCTATTATTAGAAATTATTTGAAATTAACAATGTTATTGTTATGACATTAATTACAATAATATAATATCATAACATAATATCATATCTTAACACAATCTCAATTTCAACTTACACTGGTTTCCACTACCTTTAAAGACGGTGGAAAAAAAGTTGAATTCAGTGCAAGTTTTCTGCATCAGTTTTATCAATGGAACATTAAACATGTCAACACATTGGTTTTCACAATGGAACAATAAAGTTGCACTCAGTACGTACTAGTGTTGCACTAATTTCTAGTGCAACACAATTTTCCTAGTGAAAAATGCTATGAAGTTTAAATAAAATATTTTCCTATTATCAGTTGAGTTATTCACACAGCCATTTAATATCACTTAATTGTTGTTGAAAGGTAAAGCCAAAATATTTAAATATATCTTGAAAGCTATTCTCAAAATCTTTATTATTTTTTTTTCTTGTTCGTGTTTATTTTATATTTTATTTATTTAATGTTTTTATTTCTTTATTTATATTTTATCTCACGTCGGTACACAATTGTTTCTCGACGCTAGAAAGATTTATTCGCGTAATTAAAGAGTTACACGCTCGTACCTATGGGACTGAGGCAGGCGAGGAAGAGGGGAATGGAGGAGCTTACACTCCAGTAGTAACAGAAAATGATTGGAAAGTCTTCCTCCGTCGTGTGAACGTGGTGTACACGAGCGGATACGTAGGTAGAGATACCAGGCTCGCTGCCACCTTCTACGAAGGCGATTGGCGTTTGTTATTGAAGTTATTCCATCGCCTCGGGCCACAGAACGAGAGGCGAGGCTGCTGATCGTGAGTGCCAGCAGCAGCGGCAGCACGCCTGTCCCTGGATGACAAACATCCACATTTCGCTCGCGAGCTGGAATTTTTATTAAATCCGATTGCGCCCGTCTCCACGTACGCGGTGTCCTGAGTGTATCAAGCGCACTCGTTCATTCCACTTTACTTTCAATCACTAACGAGTATATAGAAATTTGTTATTTAAGCTTATATAGCAGGAAAAGATTTGGTTTATAATTCCTTCTCTCTTAATCTTACACATCCATCGATATCTTTACGATCAATAATTAAAATCTGAGAGATAGCTAAGTATTGCTGTTATTTAAACCTAAAACTATACATTCTTTCCTTATTTTTTGTGTCATAAATGTCACAGCCTTTCAAATTAGACACTATTGCACTAATTTACATTAATATCACATTTATCTAATTATTGCACAATTTTTACGCAAAAATAAAATCCTAATCTTTTTTCTCATTTTCGTATCCTCATATATCTCTCTTAATAACTAATTTTCTATACTTCGATATTAACAGTCCGTTGTAATATAACCTTGTCTCTCATTCTTACACAATGTATCAAATATTCCGATTTCCGACAGGTTCTAGTCACGTAAATAACAGTCAGAAGACTGCCAAATATTCATGTAGACAACGGTTATAGTTAATTTTTTTGGACATGATATCATTATTTACAAATATCCCCACTGAGCTTGCAATTATTTAAAAAGTAGATGGAATTTGATTTCAATCAATTGCAAAATTCTAAAGAACGAATTTATAGAACCAGTCAAATTAGTTTTAGAATAACTTTTACATTTGATGAACAGATTTTGCAAACAAACCCTTAAGATTTAAATGGATTCCCTACTATCTACTCACCGGTAACTGCAGATGTAGTATTGCAGACTTGAAAAGTATAGTGCTTTAGACTTTCATGTACTGTTTTATTATAGATATGTTAACGATATTGTAGCACTTGCTATCAATAAGATTAATATAGTTTTAGACCGATTCAACAATTTTCACTCCTAATTACAGTTTACAGTGAAGAGAGAGAGAGAGAGAGAGAGAGAGAGTGTGTGTGTGTGTGTGTATGTGTAAAGAATGACAAAATGAACTTCTCGAATACCACAATAATAATCGAAAATAATA